TCTCTCTCTCTCTAGACCCCTGAAGAGCTAGAGGATGACTCAGACTTTGAGCAGGAAGATTATGATGTTCGTAGCCGAACAAGTGTTCAGACTGAAGATGACCAGCTTATTGCTGGCCAGAGTGCAAGGGTGAGTATAAAACCTACATTAAGTGTCTATATACCCACAAATAAAGAGCTATGCCTCAAAAAGGAAATGCAGTGATTTCAAATCTTCAGGGTCACTTAAGAAGGGACAGGAGTAAGTTAAACTAGGTGTTTAAAGTTTCTTCATGTCTCACTTATTCGAAAAGCAATGACTTTATTGAATGATCTTCCATAGGCTTATGTGATGTCTTCTATCGGTCTTTGCTCTAGCTAGTGCCGTAGGAGGCCTTGCAGGTTTAGAATGTGCTGAAAACAGTAGGAGTAGTCAGCAAATTAAAAAAAAAAAAAAATCCTATCAAGGTACCAGAGGGATCTTAAACTAGTCATGTTTCTCAGTGTGCAAACCTGTCAAGAAGATCTCTTTAAGCTACCGAGTAGTTCCTGTAATTTAATTGTAACTGAAGACATTTGTTACTGAGTCATTGTAATTTTACCAGAGTAATTACATCATGATAAACTTGAGTCATTGTGATTTGTGACCTTAGCTTGTGCATGGGGATTGCAAATTAAGCTGATGATTGCTCCAGGGGTCACAGGTGCTGCAGAAGTGAAGTTTATTAACACTCTGGATTATGCCACCCTCTGATGAATGTTTACCTTTCAATAAATAGACTGCTCATCTTAGATCATAAGAAAAAAAAATCAGAATATAATTTTGGGGACTAAAGACATTATGAAAATATATTTCAGTGGAAAGAGAGTAAAGAAAAAAAAGAAAAAAAAGGCAGTAAAATTTTCCAGCAGAGAACCTTTGGAGAAGTGAGAATTACCTGAATTATTTTCATGGCTGTTTTGCACAGGTCTGCAGATTTTTTCTGATGGTAAAACTTGCTAAAAGTAAGGTAATTGACTAAATGAGAAGCATCCTCTGCACACACACTCAAACACCATAGCAAAAGCTGGTAACTGGAAAGGTGACAACTTACCTTCAGTTCTGGAAGAGGATTTTTAGGGCTGGTAAACCTGAAGACCAAAAGGCAATGAAGCTTTGAAAGATCAATTCAGAGGACCAGGAATGAGTTTTCAGCTGCTACAGGAAGACCAACAGTATGTTACAGCTTAACATAAGCATTTTACACCCTGAAAAGAAACAGACTAATGCAAACATAAATGAAGCTTACTTAGGGGTGTGGGAGAAATGTGTAACAGAGATACAGTGGAATGAACAGAGCTTTCTTTTTTCTTAATTTCATTGAATATTGAATACAGATGGTAAATAAACCATACCATGTGTCAGAAGAGCTGGTTTTCTATCACTGCATCCCAAGGACAAAAAATTTTGTCTGTGTATATCAAGGACATATCATATATGTCATTATCACCTAGATGAAGACCAGCTGGACTGTAGGTCACATCCCTGCAAGATAGGTGACCAGGACCTGGCACTGAAAACCATGCGGTCAGGAGAATTGCAGAATGATACTTGGATATCCTACCCTGAGAACAATGACAGAACTGTGTTTTGGATGCAGATGACTATCTTTGGGGGATTTTTTGTATTCTGCAGAGCATAAAGTCCTGTTTGATACATTTAAAAGCACTGACTACTAAAGTCTCAGGTACAGAAGTATTGAGATATAATTCTACTATTTCACAGTCTTTTTAAAATTTTTTTAGTTACATCTGGAAGTGGGTAGCATATGATCCTTTCTTGATCTGCAAACCAAGTAAAAACTGCAGTAATATTTTTACTAAGAATCTAGTTCACCTTGGGACTTAGGATTATGAAATTCTATTGCATATATTGTGGTTATTATCACTGCTGCTCTTAAAACCTTCTTCTTTGATCAGCTACACAATGAATAAACATAATATATTATAAAGACAGTCCCATTCCTGAATAACGTCAAATGCAATATGTCACAAGAAGCAACAAATGATGAAAACCTAAAATGAAAACACGCTAAGCAGGAGCTGCCCAGTCCAAAGTCTTGAGTGACTCACTGAAATGTGTCTGCTCAGAAGAACAGGGTATTATTTGAAGTTTTTCTGTAAAACAGCAGGATTTTTATTTGTGGAATGTAATGGATTTGTTTAATATGCTTACGCCATAAAGCTATTAGTATCTTAGTAGAAAAACTGGTGTTGGTCTTCCATAGAAATAAAACTTAAATATATGAGCTTGCATTAGATATAGGACATAGGTTCTTTGAACATGCATCAGCAGCTGGAACAGATATGTTAAAACACTGTGTACCAGGGTGTGCGGATGAAGCTGCCCACAGAGAGAAACCACATGCAAAACTTACAGATCAGCTTTGCAAACTTTACTATTTGCATCACATTCTCTTAATTTTAGTTAATTCATCTATTCTCGTGGGTTTTATGTATATTATATATTTATTTATTAGCTTGACTTACACTGTATTTTTCTGTGGAAAGACTAATATGCTAACATTTTAAACTGCTGACTTACATTGATAAGGCCTCATTAAACTCATTTGTTGAATTTTAATTTTATTAACTTGCAAATTTCTCATTTTCCAATCTACTTTTTATAACCTTTTTTAATTTCAGTTTTGGAAAAGGTCAATTATGAATTTTTGAAAGCCAGGAGCATTTTAAGAATATGTAGAGAAAGACTTCAGCTGATTGAAAGTGACATAAACAAGAAAAAGAGTAATGACACTTAAATATGTCTCACACCCCATTAAATGCATAATATAGTCTTCAGAACCCCTAAAGCCAAATAGTAGCTCAACTTGGAAATCATTATTAGAAGTGTCCCTTAGATTTTCAAAAGTAATTATGATAATTTTATAGGGTTTTCTTTTTCAGGGGTTGGGGGTGGGGCAAGGAAACTTCTGCTTTGTTGATAATGTCGGGCCAGATTAGTATCAACTTGTGTATTGCCTTCTTACATATTTTCCAAGAGACAGTAGGACTACTAAATGTTACTGAAAGGTACATTCATTGCAAGTAATTTCAACTCTGTTATCTTAGAGTCAGAATCTTACACTCATTTAAGTTGGAAAGACCTTTAAGATCATTGAGTCTATCCATTAACCAAACTCTACCGAATTCATCACTAAACCATGTCCCCAGGCACCACATCTACACATCTTTTAAACACCTCCAGGGCTGGTTACTCTACTTCCCTGGTCATCCTGTTCTAATGTTTGACAAGCTTTTTGGGGAAGAATTTTTTTCCTAATATCCCATCTAAACCTGCCCTGCTGCAACTTGAGGACTTTTCCTCTTATCCCATCATTTGTCACTTGGGAGAAGAGACCAACCCCCACCTCTCTACACCCTCCTTCCAGGTAGTTGTCAATAACTACCTTCAATAAGGTCTCCCCTGAGCCTCCCTGCAACTTGAGGACTTTTCCTCTTATCCCATCATTTGTCACTTGGGAGAAGAGACCAACCCCCACCTCTCTACACCCTCCTTCCAGGTAGTTGTCAATAACTACCTTCAATAAGGTCTCCCCTGAGCCTCCTCTTCTCCAGCCTGAACACTCCCAGCTCCCTCAACCTCTCCTCACAGGACCCTTCCCCAGCTCCATTGCTCTTCTCTGGACACGCTTCAGCACCTCACTGTCTTCCTTGTAGTGAGGGGCCCAAAACTGAGCATAGGATTTGTAGTGCAGACTTGCAAGTGCCCAGTCTGGGGGGACAATCACTGCCCTAGTCCTGCTGACTACACTGTTCCTGATGCAGGCCAGGATGCTGTTGGCCTTCTTGGCCACCTGGGCACAGTGCCAACTCATATTCAGTCAGCCCTTGACCAACACCTCCACGTTCTTTTCCGACAGGCAGCTTTTCAGCCATTTGTCCCCAGGTCTGTTGTGTTGCAGGGGGTTGTTGTGACCAAAGTGTAGGACCCAGCGCTTTGCCTTGTTAAACCTCATTCAGCTGACCTTGGTCCATCAATCCAGCCTGTCCAGATCCCTCTTAGGGCCCTTCTACCCTGAAGCAGATCAACACTCCCACCTAACTTGGTGTCATCCGCACAGTTACTTAGAGTGCACTCGATCCCCAGTGACTCGATCAAGTCACTGATAAAGCTATTAAAGGGAACTGGTCTTAATACTGAGCCCTGGGGAACACATCACTGGTTGTCCACTGGAATGGATTTAATTCCATTTGCCACCACTCCCTGGGCATATCCTTCCAGCCAGTTTTTTATCCAGTGAAGAATATGACTGTTCCTGAGCAGCCAATTTCTCCAGGAGAATGCTCCTGGAGAGCATTAGCCTTTTTCTCCTCCTTTGTCACTGTTTCCCCCTGCATTCAGTAAAGAATGAAGATTCTCCTTAGCTCTCCTTTTGACACAAATGTATTTATAAAAATATCTTTTGTTGCCTTTTACAGCAGAAGCCAGGTTAAATTCTGGTCAGGCTTTGACCCTTCTAATTTTCTCCCTGCAAAACCTCACATCCTTGTAGTCCTCCTGAGTTGCCTGCCTCTTCTTCCAGAGCTCATAAACTCTCTTTTCTTTCCTGAGTTTCAGCCAAAGATCTCTCTTCAGCCAGGTTGGTCTTCTTCCCTGCCAGCTCATCTTTCAGCTCATGGGGACAGCTTGCTCCTGTGCCTTAACATTTAATTCTTGAAGCATGTCCAGCCTTCCTGGACTCCTTTGCCATTCAGGACTGCCTCCCAGGGGACTCTGCCAACCAGGATCCTAAACAGGCCAAAGCCTGCTCTCCAGTACGAGGTAGCACTTTTGCTGTCCCCCCTCCTTAATTCTCTGAGAATTAAAAACTCTTACCATTTCATGAACGTTGGCAGGCCACTCCCAGGCTTCTTTCTAGCAAGCCTGATTTTATCCCTTTCCCCCTTCAAATCTAGTTGAAAGCTCTCTCAGTGATCCCTGAAAAACCCTGTGCAAAGATCCTTCTGCTGCTTTTAGACAGGTGTCCTTCGTCTGTCGCCAGCCTGTCTGGTATCATGTAAACCAACCAATGATTAAAAAGCCCCAGATTCTGCTGATGACACCAGAAACTTAGAGCCCAGTACCGATCTTGCATGTCGTAGCTTATTTTAGTGTTCGGTTAAGCAGAAAATCTTTATTTCTGATAGAGAATGAGACTAGGGGAAACAAAGGCAATTCACCCTACCTTTTCTGATAGATGCCATTCATTTTGTTCATTGGGAAAGTCAAGATTTAACAGGAATTTTCTATAATGTTTCTGTGTCAGCTGATGGATAATCTGTATATTGTGAAATCACATATATAATTTTTAAATTCTTGAAGGTGTAAGAAGAGCTAGAAAGATCCTGTGAATTTGTTTTCTACTATCCTAACAGAAATCAAAATTCTACTGGATTTTTTTTTTGGCATCCTCAACTCCCATAAAAAGAAACTAGAAGCTGGGCACACTGATTGAAGCACTGGAAACATATATAATTTCTAGCTTCCTTTTTTCATTTTTTCTCTAGGCCATCATGGCTCAGCTTCCACAGGAGGAGAAGGCTAAGATTGCTGAGCAGGTAGAGATCTTCCACCAAGAAAAGAGCAAACTGGATGCAGAGGTAGCCAAATGGGACGACAGTGGTAATGACATCATTGTTTTGGCAAAGCAGATGTGCATGATTATGATGGAAATGACAGACTTTACTAGGTAAGAACAAAACAACCTGGGCTGAGGTTTTCTTCAGACACCCCACATCTTTCTTTTTGTTGCAGTGTATAGCCTATTGAGACCATTTGCTGTGTTTTGGGGGACGCAAAGCCACGTAACACACATCATATGTAATGGGATGAGTTGTACAGTTGTCCACACATGACTGCTCTGGATATTTCTCCAAATGGGATTAATCAAATGAAGATTTTGTCCCATTTGCAAATCTATTTTATTTGCAGATCATCTTGAATTTCAGCAGCAAAGATAGTCTGTGACCTTACAGACACTGAAATGACATTTCGTTTAGTACCCATCTAAATGCATGTGCCTTTCTGAACTTTCAACATTTCAACACAATTTGTGTAAATCAAAAATAATGGCAAAACTATTTATACCATTTTGAACACTGAAATTGTTTCCAAAAAATATCTTAAATGAAATGAAACTGGTTTGATCTAATACTTTATTGGAGCCTGCCAGTAATGTTTTTATTTGCTTTCATTTCTTTTTTCTATTGATGTCTTGTTCTTTTCTAAATGCAAAGCATCAAAAGGGCATTCATTAATGATATGATACAAACAGAATTATTTTGGTTATATATAGTCATATTGTTAATCACACCAGGGAGAACATTACAAGATTCTTTGAATTACAGATCACTGTAATAAATTAAAGGTTTTGTAGTGTTTATTTTTAATAGCGGTAAATGGTATGTATCAAAATGTGATTAGACAAAATTGGACGAAAATCTTCATGTTTCTCTTCAGAATTAAAATAAGACATCTATTTATTCATCTCACTGAGATGCTCAAACAGATTTCTTAATCTCCAGCTGATCAAATGCCTTATGTCTTGAGTCTGCAACCCATTTTGAAGGAGACAGTCTCTGCATTGATAATATAGGGTTCACACATACCTTATATATGTATGTATGCATATATGTATGTATAGATAGACAAGGCGGGTGTGTATAAATGCCATTAATTTGCAAATAACTTGACTATTTGCACTTGCATAGTTACTTAATTGGTAATAGACAAGAGCAAACATTTTTATCCATTTTAAATTTAATTATGCACATAGAAAGTTTGCTTATTTTAATAGATTACTAATATATTTCTTTCCAAGTAATTATTCTCTCAACCTTTTTTTTTTTTTTTAAGATTATTCTTTTTCCAGTAGACTCACAACTCCTGTACACCAAATGACAGTGTAAAACCTCCTGTGAAGGTGGTATTTTAGAGGAATCTTAATTACTTTTGTATCTGTATTGTCTTTGGGTCTCTGAACTTTCTGCCCAAAACCACAGTGAAATATTGTCCAAACAATGCCATCATTTCATGGAAGGAAGAAATAACATTCTAAAGTAACAGCCCAGAATATGAACACTCTGCAACCTCCCAGACAGCCTTTGATACATTGAGCATCAAATTGAAAGTTTTGTAATTACATTTTCTACCATCAAAAGAACAGAACTAATATGGGAATGAGAGAAAACTACTGTCATATTTGAAGTAAATTAAAAAAAAAATCAAAGTGCACCTCTGTCTACATCATGTTCAATAAAAATGTGTTTAACATATTCCATTAAAACAGAACAAAGCCTTTCACACCTTTTTGGTTGACTCTAACCTCAGTAGTGTTAAAATAGAATAATTTGTCAAATGCATGGAGTCTGTGTCACTCAGATCTGCTAATGTAATTAATGTAGAAGCATATGAGGTCACTATGAAGGATTTCTACTACAATTTATGTTCAACAAAAGTGGGATACTTGTATTTCAATATCTGTTTAAGGTGAACATGAAAGTATGCAAAGAAGATAACAATGGAAATATATTTCATCTTGTTATTCTTGGCATTGCAGATAAAAAGATGCAAAAATAATACTGTGTTGTACTTAGAAAAAATGTCTTCGGTTTTGGTTTAAAAACACCCTATATCTGATCATGTTATGATTTTCCATCCACCTTGTCTGAAGCTGTACTTCTCCTCATAGTATTAAAAAAAAAAAAATTTTTAAAAAATCAGCTTACTTCCAATTCAGCCACTTTCAGGAGCAGTAGCAAGTTTATTACTGTCTGAAGCAAAATCAGAAAAAGTATTCAGTGAATATTTACTTTTTGTTTATATACATTTTGGTAACTTTAATGACTAAATTCAGCGTTTTGTGCATTACTTTAAGAATACAGTGAATGATCAGTCCTAAAGCTAATTATACACATTTTAAGTGTAACATTTAAGTGTAACATAAGTATTATATTTCAAGTATCTTTGTTTTCTGACAGAAATCTCCCAAAGAAAGGTTTTTTTAAAATGTGCCATGCTTGCTCTAGACATGACAGGCTTAACATTTAGCACTGGATTGGGAATAACATAATTTTGAAATTTTTATGTATTCCAGAAAGAATGTTGGCTTAATGAGCACTTAAAAAGGCATATACTATTACATATAGTTCATATACTTGGAGGCGCCATCAGACTAAATTGCTTCTGAGGTGTTTTGTAAGAGAGAGGAAATACAGCAGACCAATTTCTTAAGGAAGATGTTCTATAAAGTAGTTAAAAGTTGAGGTTGTAATAAATTAAGAAGTCATTTGTTTTACTATTTTAAAATCAAACACTGAACAGTGTCACTAAAACTGTTCCCTTTCATGATTTATTTAGATTGTATATAACTGTGTTGTATTTCACAGAGGTAAAGGCCCCCTGAAGAATACATCAGATGTCATTAATGCGGCCAAGAAGATTGCAGAGGCAGGATCAAGGATGGACAAACTGGCACGGGCAGTAGCTGATCAGGTAACATCAACAATGTGCAGAAATATAACATCTATCAATGAGTTGCCTTTTACAGGAAAATATTATCTTTACTTGCCAGAAAAATACCTGTTGAAAGCCATTGCCTGGATACTGATCTACCCATTGAATAGGAGTTGTTTATTCTATACCAATCAACTTGATTTTTACAGTGTGGGTAATTCATGAATGAATCTCTAATTCTTAGAAATGCCTGAATTTTTCCACAGCTTCATGTCTGGACCCAGGTAATTTTATTACAAGTAGACTGATATATTTGCTGTCCTCTAAGCAGTAGTAAAAAAATGGTGGTCTGTTACTCTTGCCTAGGAATCATTATATTCTTTTCAGCTCTTTCTTCCAGCAGATTCCCTTGATGTCACACACTTCTTTTTCAGGATTTCCTGACTCCGTTTCTTCTGCTTTGCACCAGGGTATTGTGCTTTCACTTTACAGCTCTCTGCTCCATGCTTTAGGGTCTGTGTCCTCACTCCCATTATCAAATTCATGTCACAAATGCAAAGATGAAATTGCTATATTCATCCCCTTTCTTTCAAATTGGATTATCCATCCATCTGGAGAGCAAAAGCAAGCATCATATTAAAAGTCAAGAGCCAAATTTCAAATCTAGGTTCTATGCATCTAATTCTAGATATAGGCAAATTAAGTTTGACTATTTTTTCCCTTGTAAACTTCCTATAGTTTCTTCCATAGAATCATAGAATGGTTTGGATTGGAAGGGAACTCATTTCATTGTCATCAGAAACAATTTTGCTGGAAGTGGAAACTCCTAACTTCCTTGCCTGTAATCTTTCTTGTCAAAACTAGTATTTCTTTGTCTTTTTTAGGTAAGCATGTAATAATGTGTAACACATCCTGCAGGGGAGTCTGGGCCAGCCTGGCAGGAGACCTAAAGACACGCATTTTCCAATAACCTTAGGAATGTTGGGGTTAGGTTTTCTCCATTATCAACAAGCTTTTTTCTTGTAGTTAACCCATTCCAATCCTTCAAATGTAACATTAGTTCATTTTAATATAAGAAATAAGAAATCCTTCTGTCAGCTGATTAAATTCCTACTCTACAATATTTGTAGAGATGAAATATTTTTAAGAAACATGAAGAGACTTGCTATGCTTCCTTAAATTTCAGAGACTCTAACATGCAAACTTTAATAATAAACAGTAAAATCACCATGAGAATGAAATCTTTGTTTTAATGCTTGAAAATTAACGATATTTTACAGAACTTCAGAGACTCCCATGCAATAGAAACTTTTTATGGACAGTTGCATTTTTAATTACTGTTCCGATGAGACAGATCTTACTTTTTCATTTGCTCCAAGTAATTTGTATTTAAAGCCTTGTCAGCTCTCTAGAAGTATTGCTGTAAAGTTCATTTCTTTCAGTTCATAGACTTCAAGAATAGGGTAAATATTTCTATATTAAATTGTCACCAGTAGGGAGAAGAGTTCTCTTAGGGATTCATGCCTGAAAGATGTGGCAACCATCTGAGAAAAAGAGGCATTATAACATTGTCATAAGTATAGAGAAGATTAAAGCTAACAGCCACAATGAACCTCCAGCTTTGTTTATTGTTAAAGGGAGAGAAAAAAGCAAAGTGGCTGCTTTCAGAGTCGTAGATGACACTATATGCAACTACTTCACTGCAAACATATTCCTTGCCAGCATTAGCTGCTGGGGCTAGAGCAGTCATCTCAAGTCAGAGGCTGTGATACTGTTGACTTGTGTGTATTTAATTCTATCAGGTTTTCTTAAAGTGCTCTGATAACACTTTACAAAAATTGAAATAAACTTTGTGAGTTGTTAAAGACGTTTGGATGTACCTAAATCTTTGTTCCCCACACTAGACATTCAAAGGACATTGTCATTCAGACTTTGTTGGGTAGCTCCAAAGAGTATTTATTGGAGACGTGCAGTTAGCAGTGGACCCTTTTAGCAGTGTTTCCTCAGAGTGAATTACTGAGGTCTGTTCTCTTGAGGCAAGACTTTGAATATTAACTACAAGAGTGTTGTTTATTATGCTGTTGGTATTGTGGGGAATGATGCAGTTTCTGTTAAGAGTCCCAAAGACTATGAATAAATTATTCTTGAGCCTTTTCTAGTTATATTAATTATAAAACCTTTACTGTGTCTACCACATTTGTCCTGATGTAGTTCATATCAAAACACATTTGAGATGCACAGAATCCAAAATGGTACAGGACTGTAAATAGACTTGTCCCTAGTATGAAGAGGTATCCCTTAGGCATGCAGAGGGACCAGCTAATCTCATTGTGTTTTTGAGAAGGGCTGCAAGAGTGACGTCGTCTCCTGAGAGACTCTTTAATATGTCACTTACACTTTAGTAAATAATCTCCTTCTGGCACAGATTCGGGTATTTATGCATTAACAATAAGCTTGCCAAATCTGTCAATACCAAACTCAAACAGCCACGTATCTGCCTCTTGAGTCCTTAGTCTGTCAGTAGGTGGCCTGACTTCTGCCAAGCCTGAAGCAGAGCTCTGTCTTCTGAGAGTCTGCATAAATGCTAGGGAAACCAGCAAGACAGTCAAGAATTGGCATTACAGTGGATGTAATCAGTCAGAACTGGATTTATCCGGACTTTAACTGATCTATGTTTTATCTTAACCCAGCTGGTAACCTAGAGTTTCAGGTAAAATGTGGTTTTTTGCCTGCTCAACACATTCTTCTGTTCTGTACAAAATGCTTTCATAAGTGAACCTCCCTACAAACATAGTAATCATATTATTTTCATTGTCTTTTGTTAGTGGCTGACAGAGAGGTTTCTTTTTTGAAAAAGGTATCGTGCATCTTCAAGTTACAATTTGTAAATCTTCAGTTTAATGAAAGGTAGAGTTTGAAATTTCACGTTTCATCAACACCCCATGTAAAGACAAAGTGAAATGGATCCACCTAATACACAAACATTGCCACTATCTCCTCTGATTACCTCTCTATAATCATATAAATTCAGCTGCATCTAATCAAATATTTCTTTTTTCTGTAGTGCCCCGATTCAGCCTGCAAACAGGATCTGCTAGCCTACCTGCAGCGCATTGCCCTCTACTGCCACCAACTCAATATCTGCAGCAAAGTGAAGGCAGAAGTTCAGAACCTGGGAGGAGAACTTATTGTATCAGGGGTAAGCTGGTATTTGTATTTAGCCATTTACGTTTCCCATGTAGCACTTGAAAGGTAGCATTTTTGATGGCTATAAGGTAGAAAACAAAAATGCAGTGATTCATAAACAAGCTTTTTAAAATGTTATCGCCATTATTCCAGACCTGACAGTAACTTGCATAGAGCAATTTGATTTTCCAATTACCCTTTGTTTATGCTAACCTTGTAAAATCTTCATTCTTCCAAAAGAGAAGTAATTTCATAGCCTAGAAAGTCATTGCCTAGCTGTGAATATTATAATTATTTGGAGCTTTTGTATATTTACTCATTATACATCTTCTTTCCTTTGTTAGTACTGGTAATTTCCTTCCTCTGTGCAGAAGCCAGCTCTGTATGAAGTGCATATTGTTAAGATGGTGATGACTAATGGGATTTCATTCACTCAGGTTCCAATGCACACTAGGTTTAGCAAAAACTCTGGAACGCTTGCAAAATATTTTAATTTTTGATGCACATGCTGTTTTCAAATACTATTGGCAAGCACAATAATTATATACTCTAATTGCCATCCAGTGATTTCAGTTATTTTCAATGAATGCTAACTTTATACACACGATATTTTTTAGAAATAAACACAGGAATATGCAGCAGTAGTAACGTTATAAACAATGAGTTTTCTAAATTTTAAAATTATTTTTTCTTTCCTTCTCCTAATATTGGAACTCTGTGCCTTTGGGAGATTACTAGAACCAAGCAATAGCGCTTGCTGCTCTTCATGATTTTCTTGTTCTTTTAACTAATCACCCTAGTATTAGTCCCAAGACACCTTTCTTAACTTCTAAATCAAATACAGACCATCTGTATACAAAATTGTAATAAGTTTCACTCTCCTAAGTTGGTTTTCAAAATTATGGTTATTTGTGACACCCAAGATACTTGAAACAAGATTGTTTTCAAATGCAGTTTTGAAAAAGCACCCTTTCATTGTTTAAGCCCAATCAAGTATGAAGATTGTTAGGACAACTAACTTGTGCCCTTCATTTCATCCATAATATTCCCCAGTGAAATAAATCACTGGCCTTCCTCAAACATATCAGGTCAGAGCAAATGTTCTCAACTACATAACATTTTGATTTTTTATAAAGCACTGTAGAAGGTCTTAAACATTTGCCAGGCTTTCTTTGATCAAACATTCTAAAGTCATATATGCAATCCTAAAAGGAGCTGCTTAAACATTCCTGTGTCTGTCCTGCAATTGGTCTTCACTTCTTGACGTATGTACATATGTAATTTTAATACCTTGATCTTCCCACAGCAATGAAAAGATCCTCTTCCATTTTCCTGATATTAATGGAGTGATCTGTCCTTTATATCATTGTCAGCTATGCTGCATAGTGAATGCTATGATCTTTTCTTACCTACTGCCATCCGGATTCAGCTTTTCATATCCATTGAGTTGTCATATTCATCTATCTATAACAATTACGAAGATCAGTGCTTCTGCCAGCTTGGCTTTTGTGGTTGTGTGTGTTTCTTTTTCAAGTCTCTTTATCAGTGTATGTGGATGCTGAATAAGCCATCGTGGATCTCTAGCATCTGTTTGTTATTGGAACATCACCATCCGTTGTGAAACTTAAGTGGCCAAACTGCTCAACTTCATCATTTCTAGTCTGGCATTGTTAGCATCTGCTGCTTACCAGGCTTCATCACCATTGTGTTTCTGTTTGGTTGGTTTTTTACAGTCATTTTCAGACAAAGGTAAAACTAACTTCAACCACAGCAATTATTTGAGTCTGTTCCAAAGAGTCAGTAATACTGACATGCAGAAAAGTTTAAGATTGCCCAGCTTGCTTCTTCTGCTATTGCTCTGAACAGGAGGTGATACAGAAGAGCTGAACTCCTGTGCATCCCTTTTTGAGAGACTTATCTTATCTGGTCTAACACAGTTAGTACAGTGCTTTCCTGATAGTGTTTTCCAAGCTGTTTATCTTCAAGGTTCTGGGTACTGTATGCTCCTTTGCTATCCAGAGATCTGGTATCCAAGTGCACATCTACATCTGCTTGTCTACTTGCTGCTTCTGCTTCCATCTTCTTCTTCATTTTCTCTTGGATAGCCAATTACAAATAAACAGTATTTTATTTACATTGAAATGAAATACCATTATTTGGCACCTTGCATACAGTACAGTGTTAAAAGTACAATAGAAATCCAGAATTCAAGCTTCCCAACCTATGGCTACAAAAGTAAATTTATGTGAATGCACTATATTTAAGTGTTTTGATGTAAATATGAAGCACCAGGATGACTACTACTATAGTGTAATTTACTACTGTGTTTATGAAGAACCATCATATAATTCTGATTGATTTAAAACATGAGTTATGATTCAGAACTATTATGGGGAGTACAATCTCTGCCTGAATTTTTGCATTAGAAACAAAATTAATCAATATTTATAAATTAAATTATGCATGCATATGTATGTATGAATCTATGTGTGGGCATATGTATATTTATGTATAAAGGAAAGAGACATAAAACCAATTAAAACCTAAAAGACAGATGAAAGCCACCCCACAGTTCTTATAGTTCTTTTAGAGAAAAATGTGTTGCAACAACTTCAAAAATACTGTGTACATAACATATAATGTGTGTTATATATCTTTTGGTGAAACTTCTGTTTCTTCTTTTTTTCCCCACAAGATTCAGTAGTTCACTGTGGTTTACCTCTGAAAATAAGCATAAAGGTGATCTTGTTTGCTTTTTCCTCATAGCGTAGCATATGAAGGGCTTCTTTTTGGCATCATTGATTTTTCTGCAAATAGAAAAACAGATCAAAAAGTAAGAAAATGTCAAACTCCTGAAGTGTAAATTATTTCAGTAAAGGAAAAAAACCCACTGTTATTTTTCCCTTTCCTTCTTCCACACGTTTTCCCCCAGCCCTTTCTCTCCTTTGGTCTTTTCCATGAAATTCCCTGCATGCAGATAGCAAAATTATTTTCACCAGATAAGTAGGATCTGGTAATTGAGAGTTAGCATACATCAGCCTAACCTCAATAATACCAATGGAGCAAGGCCAGTTTAAACTATCTTTTGACTTGGCCCTTTATGTTGCAACCTGAGACTCTTAATTCCTGATTCCAATTGAGTTTTGAAAAATAAAGTAAAGAAAACCTATGTGATATCTGTTCTTCAGTGAGGAGCCTTGTAAACTTGAAGACTGTAGGAAAGAAAGTAAAGGGGTAAGGAGGATGTTAGATAAAAGCAAAAAGGAATTAATTTAAAAAAATTAAAAAAAGAATTAAAAAATGTGTAAACTGTGTAGATGATATCCGTTTTCCTAGTCCCTTCTACCTTGGTCCATAAAAATATATATGTTTCTGTAATTTTAAGTTTGAATATTCAATTTCTATTTCCCCTCTCTGAATAAACAACTTCCTTTAATAAAACCGCAGACTAAAAGCACTTCAAAATATTTTTTTTCTTGTTTTAGCTTATTTAATGTAATGCATATTTGCTTCATAATCAGTTGCACCATTGTATTGGAACTAATCCTCTGAGGTGCTGAGAATATGCTACTCTCAGTGAAGTAAATACCATTTATATATACTTAGCTCATGGTAATAGATAGCCTTTTTGTGGTAACTACTTATGTTGAGTAGAGTTAGTTTTAACCATGATGTTTGTTATTTGGATAAGAATTCAGACTTTTAACTCTAGGGCTGCTTTATTTTTTAGTATTCCTGTCTGACTCTTGTTAGCTAGACCATTACAATAAAGCAGATCTATCTATTAATTTCTTACTCTAGAATAAATATTCCCTTGTTTTGTTTACTGATCCTCTGAAGCTGATCAGCTCACTTGCCTACTATCCATTTAGGCTATGAGCTTGTATGTTTTTTATATTCTTATCTTAGTAGGTTTGTTACAGTCTTTTCCGAAGGATTAGATTGAACAGAATCTAAGAAAATGTCTTATTCAAGGCAGCCTCCTACCACGTTCAGGTTTGATTTAGAACTCAACAGATATAATCAGCTGTATTATCAGAAAATTTGTTCAAAGAGTCGAAACTTCTCAGCCAGATCAATATGCAGTGTCACACAGAGAAACAGCCGTGTACAATTGAACATTGTCCAAAAATAATGAATCAATAGCCAAAGCACATTCCAAACATACTTTAGCTGGGTCCAATTTCCAATTATTTTCAAAGGCCCATTTATCTTAGCATAATAGGCTCAGCTATGATACTAAGAGAGGATTTGGAGATACAAGACAGTTTAGTTAAGATTGTGTCTTGATCTAAGCGTTCTTGCTTGGTGAGTTTAAGTGAGGACTTTGGAGGGAAAAAGGAACATGGAAGGGCTGGACCCACCCCATTAACTTTGGGTAGGACATTATGAAAATTCCCAGAACACCAGGACTGGGAGGTTGAATTCCTAAAGAATTTAACAGATATGGTATATACTGCAAAATAATTGCCTGTATGCTTATTCTTGATCAGTGATAAGTATAAGGTAACTGGAAATAGCTGGTTCTCATAAAAAAAAAAGAATGAGCCTCTTATTATTTATCACGGAATAAATAACCAGCAGTTACTTCAGGTCAGCTGGCAAAAAGCTACCCTATCAATTCTATGTATGGATCTCCCATCTAATAAATGAAAATGGTTTAAAGCTCATGCTTTTCTTTCATTTAAGTCTGAATCATCCTAAACTACCTTATGCTGTAAAAGCAAGTTGATATGCATATGGGCAGCGGAGTATCAAGTTGCTACTTATGAATTCTATAGACTCAAAGAAAAGTCAGGTAATTTGGAGTTCATCTGCTATTAAAAGTGAGTAAGGCCGTCTTTTACTGAATTTGGATTAAGAGCCTGTACATAAGCAGTTACTTAAGAGCCACTGATGTGGTATTTCATTTCACTGCATCACAAACCAGAAGGTTTTTTTCCTTTGTTTGTATGTTTTCAAGTAGGCTATCAGAGAGAACCTTTGCATTTAAAATGCTTAAGAGTATGGAGA